CCCCCCCCCAAAAAAAATTCAATGCATATTATACAAAATTAAGAAAATTGAGGGTAGGGATGGATAGAGAAGAATGATGGAAAGGGTGACACAGATTGATTCATTGTATTAATATACTACTTTGTTGAATGGCAAGTCCTTTGTACAACTACTTAAAGGCAAAAATAAAAATTATAAAATTATCATTGAAAAAAGTGAGATTATAGTTTCCTGTATTCATCTAAATCAATCCAAATACAAATCTCATTTCCCCAATTTCCCATATTATTGTTTATTTCACTTTGCCCAAGAATGATAGGATAAAATGCTACAATCTTTAATCCTAGATATGAGGTTCTATGTTTTCTCTCAATTTATAACAGTTAATTTCTGGCTTCAGAAGCTCCTATACTTACAGTGTTTTCATACCCCTCAAGGAAATAATTTTCCTTTGGGGAAAATAATAAGGTAGCTGCTGATGCCCACTTAATCTGGTCAGGTGGTGAAAGAAAAACTGAGGACCTATACATTTTTCAACTAGGCAGAGATTGAGTGTATAAACCCTGGTTTCATCTATAAAACAGATGGAACTGAGGTTTTCTTGCAGCTCACAATTTATTAGTGAAAGGGGGTTGGGTCACTTGGTGTTTTTATGCTTGATGCCTACAGCTATGTCCTGGCTGTAATGAGGAAGAAGGATGCCTGAATTGGTGGCCACAGGTGGTATAATCCCAGGAATATGCTGAGCCCGATCTTCTGGGTTCCTGGTGCTATGGTGGGGGCCAGAACTATTAGACAGGTTCCACTTCTCCTTTATTTGGCTGAGCTGGAGAAATGATATCTTTCATGATCTCAGCATAGTATGGGCTGAAGACATGCTGATTGTAATGTATCAGGCTAACAAACTTCCAGCCCAGTTCTGCCAACTCCCCTTCAATGAATAGAAGGCCTCCAGGAAAGTCTAGAAGGGACTCTCGCATGCCACGAATTAAACAGCATTTGAAAAACAAGCGAATCCGCTGTTCTGTCAACAGGGGAAAACACAAAAAGGAATAAAGAGATTTCAGAAGAAATTCATAGCATACACTTTATTCACCAAAGCTTTTAAGTTAACCGAGTTTTCAGTGACTTACCCACTCATTTGTATAAATTGTACAAATGAGATTTTTGTTGTGTTCTATTTTGGAAGAAGGAATGATATCAATCTTCCAAAGATAATGCATTATCAAAAGATGGTGAACTAGGGCTATAAGTGTGGCTCAATGGTAAAGCACTTGCCTGGTATTTCTAAGGTTCTGAATGAAATCCTTAGCACCACAGTATAAATAAATAAATGAAAACAATGCAGAGCTAGTAAATTTTGGCTGCTTATAAGATTGCTTATCTATGAATGATGGACACCTGAACCAATAAAAAGATCATTGACACTGTACCTGGAATTCTATGGGCACATGTTAGAGCCACTACACTAAGTTCTGACCCATATAAACAAACTAGATTATAAGATGTTAAAGTTACAAGCAAGCTAGCCAAATGAACTATTTCCATGCTATGACGGAACAAATTTTGTAGCTTAACATTGCATCAGTACCATTGAAAAGAGTAGTTTAAAGAATGGAATCCAGAATGGACTTTCCAAAATAGATCTTGAACTGCAGTTACAGAATGAACATGAATGTCTTTGTAGGGTTGGTGGGACAATAATTCACATCTAAGAAAGATTTATTTCAAGGCCTGTAAAACATATATGAATTAACTAAAGCTAAAATACTTCCCAAATAATATGTATTTATTTGTAAATGATTTAGTAATTCACTGCTATAACAGAGTCTATCTGCCAACCCCACAAATCGTCATTGCTTTTCCCTACCACTGTTTTGGTGATTCTTACCAATGATGATACGAATGCAGTTTTCTTTCTTGGCAATATTCTGGAGTTGGCTTACAAGTGATGCCTTGTTTTCACTGCTCAGAGCAGTGAGGCCCTTGTCTTTTAGGCCTTGATAAATCTCCTGAGGTACTTGTTCACTCACTCTCAACATAGTCTCTTCAGGCCTAGAAAGTGAAGTACAGAGAACAAAGTACAGAGTGTTTCTGATATAGGAGTAAAGTGCAGAAGGCTTCATACCAGAAGTTAGGTCCACTCAAGGGATAGTTCCAGTTTCCCATCACCAACACATAGCACAAGCCAGTGGGCATGCAAAATATTTTGATTGTTACCTTCAATTTGCCAAGTAATTCATAAACATATCGCCATATGAAATAAGATTCAAAGGAAATAAGAATTGGAAAATGTTTAGGTCCATCCTTAGATCCACTCAATATCTTTAGTGCTTGTAAACTTTAAAAACCTTAAATATTTGATAGTATTTTTCTATTTTACAGTTAAACTGTAAATACCTTAAGAAACTTGAACTTCTAATTCTTTTTTACTTTAGTATGCTATCCTTGAATGTAGTAAATAATCTATACAATTGATTAAGTGATCAATTTCTGGATATGCATAACACAAATCCACCATTGCTCAAGGAATTATATAATGATTCATTCTTTGAAAAAAATGAATGAATATTTATAGCAATCTAACCTTCACAATTTTCTCTTAGGAAAAGTTTTATTTTATTCTGCCCTAACTCAATACAACTTATTGAAAATACAGTCTTTGGAGCTGGTTCTTGAAGGCCTTCATATGGACCTCAATAAAGACTAAGGGTAAGCCGGGCGCTGGTGGCTCACGCCTGTAATCCTAGCTACTCAGGAGGCTGAGATCTGAGGATCGCGGTTCAAAGCCAGCCCGGGCAAGAGAGACCGTGAGACTCCTATCTCCAATAAACCACCAGAAAACCGGAAGTGGCGCTGTAGCTCAAGTGGTAGAGTGCTTGCCTTGACCCGAAGAGCTGAGGGACAGCGCCCAAGCCCAGAGTTCAAGCCCCACGACTGACAAAAAAAAAAAAAAAAGAGTCTAAAAAAAAAAGACTAAGGGTAATGTATTGCTTGCATATATCACAAATACCACATTGTTTTTATATTCTAAGAGAGAACTATGCAACATACTTGGAATTAAATTCCTGTGTCAGAGCCTTGGTGACACATCTCAGTTTTTCCACAAATTCAGGTGATCTGAATAAAACACTTCCAGAGAAACTTCTAGCCACTAGCAAAACTGAGGCCAGGATAGTTAAATGCTTCAATTTGGAATTCATCTTCTGAAGACGAATTCTGTCCATTAGAAGAGTCTGAGGAGGCAGAAAAGAATGGGCATTCAGGAAAGGAGGGTTCCAATGAAGGCTTTGAAAACAACAACAACAAAACAAGGCGATAGCCTGACACATATTCCTACCTCTGGGTATTCTTCATTTCCATAATCCTTGAGAAGGAGGTTCAAGTAGGCTTGATATAGCACCATTGTAAGACTAGGAGGCTCTGAGTTCTCCACCTCTTGATCAGAAAATGACCATGTTGTGCTGGTAGAGGAACGAGGAATGTCAGAACTTGGAAATGGTGTAGTGAGGTCTCTGGCTGCATCAGTTAGCCACATTTTAGTGCATATGAGGGAATCTGTGACAGAAAAGGGGACACGTATCTTAAACTCCAACAACGGAAGGCTAAGACATGGAGATATGTAAATAAATACTTTTTAAGGGTTCTTTGTCTTTAGAGAAATACTTCTCCCTATCCCTGACCTAATCCCTGACCTACTAGAAAACTTCCTATTAAAAAATAGGAAATCACTATAAAAAGTAGATCCAAGATCAAAATTTTTCCCCCTATTGCTCTTAAATTTTAAACCTACCTGGCTGTTTTTCAAGAAGTTTTTGGAATTTAGCTCGTTCATGTTGGATAGAATGTTCCTGCCTGTAGGGTTGAAGATACTTGACAGTATCATTCACCATGTCCATTTTCATCAGACTCAAAACACGAAAGATTCCCCTGTCACAAAAACAGAATATGTAATAAAAAAATCTAACATGGGACAGTACAACTCAAGAGAGAATCATGAAATTGAATTTATTTTAGAGTTAGAAAGGGCCTTTAAACTAACAGATCTGCTGTATACCAGTGGCTCATATCTCCAATACTAGTTAATCAGAAAGTTGAAATTGGAAGACCAAGGTTCAAAGCTAGCCTAAGAAGAAAAACTCAAGAAAGCTCATCCCTAAAATAACCAGCAAAAAGCTAGATAGGAATCAAGGCACAAGTAGCAGAGGCCAGCAATTAGCAAGCAAACCAGAACCCAAGGCCCTGTGTTCAAGTCATGGTACTAGCACAAAAAAACCAAAAATAGATCTACTTCAATTTACAATTTGATATTATTTGAATGTGCCCCCTCAAAGCATGTGTTAAAAACTTAATCATCAGTTTGTCAGTGTTTGGAAGTGAGGGACATGGGAACAGTTTAGGCCACATAGTAAAAAGGCATGTTTAGGAGAGCATACTAATGTTTAAATACCGTTTGCCCCCTGAAATATCCATGTTGAAGTTAGATATTAGGAGGAGGAAACTTTATCCAACTATGATTTTATAGGTGAGGCCCTTGAAGGTGATTAAGGTTATATAAAACCATCAAGGTGGAGCTCCTATGACTATCAGAAAAAGCAAGAGACTGTGGCACACACTTAGCTGTCTCGTGTCTCTCACCATATGGTGTCCTGCATCACATTGGGTTTTTGCCAACAAGAAAGCCATGACTGTCTGGAGATCCTTGACAATGAACCTCCAGAATGGGGTTCAAAAAAACCTTTTTTCCCCCTAAGGTATCCAGTCTGTGGGATTACATTATTAGCAACAAAATGGACAAAAATAGCTTGTCTTGACTTTTTTTTCTGGTCATGGGGCTTGAACTTTGGACTTGGGTGCTGTCCTTCAGCTCTTCTGCTCAAGGCCAGCACTTTACCACTTGAGCCACAGTCCCACTTCCTGAAACTTTTCTTTCTTTTCATTCATTTTTTTTGCCAGTCCTGGGACTTGAACTCAGAACCTGGGCACTGTCCCTGAGTTTCTTTTGCTCAAAGCTAGCACTCTACTACTTGAGCCACAGAGCCACTTCTGGATTTTTCTGTGTAGGTGGTACTGAGGAATTGAACCCAGGGCCTTGTGCATGTGAGGCAAGCACTCTAACACTGAGCCACATTCCCGGTCCCAAAAATAGCTTGTCTACATTCTCACCTCAGTAATTCCGCTGGATCTTTTATACTCTCTAGTTTCTTCACTGCTTCGTCTCGTACTGGAGCACACAATAGGCTCATCAATTTGAGAATGTAGGTAGAGAGATGAAGAACATCTAGAGCTCCTTGTTCTGTCTCCTGCTCAAAGACACTCAGGTCCAAAGATTCTTCAATCTCATTTCTCAGACGATTCTGGTGTGGTAATAGGAGCGACAGCAAGATCTGCCCAGCAAAGGACATGAAAGGAGCCAATTTCTCCTTAGAATCTCTTCAATGAACAATTCTCTTAGGTTAAAGTCATCCTAGACCATGTCTTTTAGAGGTCAGGAAAGCAGAGCTTTAAATTTCTTAGAGAATTATGTTTTCTATTTTGAGGACAATTACAATTGAAGGTTACTTTGAGATCATCTATAGATGTAGTTATAATTTTCAAGAAACAGGAAGGATATAAATAAAAATAAGAGTGTGATATAAAAAGAAGTGCAGGAAATAGCTGTTTGACTCAAAAATTTACTTCTATGCTCCTAGAGTATGTAAAACATAGAGGCAATCCAGTGAAAATATGCTTGATTGACATTTATTGTCCTTTCACAGCAATAGCCTACCTCTCAAGCTATATATCACGAATAATATGAAGCCTCTCCATATTACCTATGTTCAGAAAGTATGCTACTTAGGATACCAGTATCCACTGAAAACTCAAGGGTCTAGGTACTGCATATCAACAAATGTAGGATTACTCACCTCCTTGACATTTTTTATTAGTTCAAGAGCACAGGTGAAATCTGGAGGAGTACTTGATAATTGTTCTTTCAGATGGTCCCAATAAGCATTGTACATCCTCTCCACAAACCTGCTGTCGTGACTAGCAAGAAAGCAAATAAGAAAATTGCTTTTTTTTGTTGGTCATGGGACTTGAACTCTGGGCCTGGGTGCTGTCCTTGAGCTCTTGAGCTCAAGGCTAGTGCTCTACCAGTTGAGCCACAGAGCCACTTGCAGTTTTCTGGTGGTTAATTGCAGATAGTCTCACAGAGTTTCCTGCCCCAGTTGGCTTTGAACTGCAACCCTCAGGTCTCAGCCTCCTGAGTAGCTAGGATTATAGGTGCGAGCCATCAGCACCTGTCAGAAAATTGTTTTTTACTTATAGAACTCAAACAGGATAGTTGTCTTTCAAACAGTACTTAATCTGATTAAAAAACATTGGTCAACAAAGGAGGAGGCTACAATGCTTGTTAAGAAATGTACTCATTATCTTGCCCATGTAATTGTAACCCCTCTGTACAGTACTTTCACAATAAAAAATTAAAAAAAAACATTGGTCAAATCCGCTCACAACAGCACCTATGATTCCAGAGCTTTCTCCATATTAAACAAACAAACAAACAAAAACACACACAAAAAACCATGAAGCACAGGTTGAAACCCTGAATTCTGGTCATGGTACCCTAGCCTAAATGTATGATTTAGTTTCCAATTCCACATACTTAAACCTTTGAAGTAGGTCATCTCTTTTTCTTCAGGCATGGTCTATGAGTAATGATTTTCCCTGTTGATATCATAGAAGGTCTATCAGACATTTCATATTCAGCACAACCAAAATGGTGGAACTTATCAGCCCCCTTCAAACTGGTCCCTCATTTACACTTGGTCTTGCATGCTAGAAAGGTTGGCTTTGTTCTTTAAGAACATACTTTTCAGATATACAAGCATTATTTTCTTTAAAAACTGTAAAAATACCACAGAAAATGAAGACATGTCCAAGTTTTTTCCTTCTATATCAATCTAACTCAAAATGAGCCATCAACTTTTAACTATCTGGAATGTGCCAGAACACTTAATTCCTTTCCCATCATCCTTCATATTTATTTGGCTAGCAAATCCCTGTTTCCTAACTATGTCTAGAATCTACCCTACCTACCATCATCTCTACCTGGATTACTGCATTCATCTATTAAGTCTCCAACCTGAGTCACATAGTCTCACCTCCCACAATGCCACATATCCTCGATTAAATAAATGATTCTCTTAAGAAGCAAATCTCATGATGCTATCATTCTCAATTAAAGTTCTTCAGGAAGTCTAACACCAGCAGGACATAGGATCTTTATGACCCTTCAGGATCTTATTTTTCCACTACTCTATATTACCTATTTTTAACACCAAATACTCCAACAATAACAATCTGCTTATATTGAATATGTGAATATGTGACTCTAAAGAGATATACCCTTTCTTCCTTGACTATCTAAAAAGTCCATATTCATATTCCAATATTCAACTTAAAAGTTAGCTTCTCAGGAAAGACAATACAGATCTTCCCCAAGCAGCTAAGCACTAACATATAAATCCAGACATTGGCTATTAGAAAACATATCCCTCTGTACAATAGCTGTTTGTCTATCCTACAGAAATTTCTTCATGGTAGACAGACAGCTAATGCATGTGTTCTCAATACTCAATATTCTACTTTTACCTCACAAGTATTCAGTAAGTAACTGAAAAATGGATGGGTGACAATGATATTTCCCTTAGAAACCTATAACGAATATCATTTTATAAACCCAAATGCAAAATTAGTTAATAATATATAAAGAAAACCCCTAGCTGGGCACGAATGGCTCATGCCTGTAATCTTAGCTACTCAAGAGGCTGAGATCTGAGGATCACGGTTTAAAGTGAGCCCAGGCAGGAAAGACTGTGTGACACTTACCTTCAATTAATCAACAGAAAAGTGGAAGTGGCGCTGTGGCTCAAAATGGTAGCACTCCAGCAGAAATCAGGAAAACAACTCCTTTTGTAATAGCCCCACAAAAAATAAAATTCCTAGGAGTTAACTAAAGAAGTGAAGGACCTCTACGATGAAAACTTTAAAAAAGGAAATCAAAGCAGAACTTAAAAAGTGGAAAAACCTCCCATGCTCCTGGATTAAAAGGATCAACATTATGAAAATGGCAATACTTCCCAAGGATATCTACAAATTCAATGCGATACCTATTAATATTCCAACCTCATTATTCAAGGAAATAGGAGAGGCAATCCAAAAATTCATATGGAACAATAAAAGACCCCGAATAGCAAAAATGATCCTTAACAGAAAGAACACTGCTGGAGGAATATCAATACCAAATTTCAAACTCTACTACAAAGCCATTGGAATCAAAACAGCTTGGCACCGGCACAAGAAGAGACCACAGGACCAATGGAATAGAACTGAAAACCCAGAAATGAACACACAGACCTATAGCCACCTAATCTTTGATAAGGGAGCTAAAAAAAATAGAATGGAAGAAAGACAGCCTCTTCAATAAATGGTGCTGGCAAAATTGGTTAATCACTTGTAGAAAACTAAAGCGAGATCCTTATATATCACCCTTCACCAGAATCAACTCCAAATGGATCAAAGACCTTGGAGACAAAGAAGACACCCTGAAAACATTATAGGACAGAATACGAGAAACCCTCAGTCTCCTTGGCTCAGGCTGAAATTTTCTTAGTAGAGACCCAGAAACACAACTAATCAAAGAAAGGTTGGACAAATGGGATTGCATGAAGTTGCAGAGCTTCTGCATAGCAAAGGACATAGCTAGCAAGATCAATAGAAAGCTCATAGATTGGGAGAAGATCTTCATAGCCATACAACAAACAAGGGTCTCATATTTAAAATATACTTGGAACTCAAAAAATTAAATCCCCAACAACAAATCCTCAAAGAAACAACTGCCCAATAAATAAGTGGGCTAAAGACTTAAAGAGAAACTTCTCTGAAGAGGAAGTAAGAATGGCCAATAGACACATGAAGAAATGCTCAACCGAGAACAGCAGATCGCCAGGAACAGAGAAACCTACCAGCCGGGAGTCTCCACGAGGATCCCACCCCCACCCCTTACTCTCCACCTGAGCAGAGAGGCTCCATCCCGCCAAAGCCACTCAGCACCAGCAGCGCGACAAAGGGACCTGTCGGCAGACCACGCGCCCGATTGCGATCGCAATGACCCGGCGGGGCCGTCCGACCCTAGAGGCACAGGGGGCTGCCTGCAGATCACAACCCGCGAAGAAGCCGCCTGAGCATGGACACTTTTGACCCGACAGCTTCGACAGAGGCAGAGACAGAAAAGAATCACACAGAGCCACCACCGCCCAACCCAGCCTGCAACCACCCCAACTAAACTCGGATTGCAACAACAACTGAAGACTTACACCACACAGAAACAACCAGCTCCAGGGTGAGTACCCAACAGGGGACAGTGTATCCCTCATGGGAGAGCAGAGCTGGAGGGAATCCCCAGAACCTGACCTAGACTCCCTACCCCAACACCCGGACCACAGGACCCACTAAAACTGGGAACTGTTCGAGAGCTCCACCAGCCCGTGGAGCACACTCTGCTGGCCAGGCCAGAGCAAGAGTGCCCCTGGAAGGGAGCTTAAATGCCCAAGCCAGGAACAGCGCCCCTGGGTCAAGACTACCAACAGTAGAAGAAATTTGAACTGTGTCCCCCAGGTTGTATAACCTAGGTGGTATACACATCAGCACAGGCCTAACGAGCACGCTCCAGGCTGCATAACCTAGGTGGTATACACATCAGCACAGGCCTAACGAGCACGCTCCAGGCGGGGGCCGGAACCAGGCCCGGGGATCCGGCGCCTGAACAACACAACCAACTCTTCCCAACTGAAGTAAAAAGCTGAGCATACGCCTCAACAGAGGGGAGAAAACCAGGAAACAACACTCCCCGGGAAGCACG